TTTGTAATTCGATAAGTCCTTGTAGGAACATACTCTGGAGCGTCCATGGCTTTCGCCTTGGATAGAACTATTTGTACCAGTTCCCTTCCCATTGGCGCCATTGGTACTGATCTGCGCCATGGCTGCGATCAAAGCGGCTGTTACAGCAACCTAAAAGATAGCAGAATCCATCGGTAGAGGTGGTGGCAGTGGGGGTGGTGGTGTTGTTATGGTGTTGATATGTCTAGGATTTCTTAGTGGAGGCATGCTTCTGCCATAAGTTCAAATATGAAATGATGATAAGTCTTCAATAATTGTTATGGAAAGTCTCAGTGATATACATTTTGTGTCCCGACTTTATCGTATTTGTAAGGCATTCATAAAATAGGAAATCTACTATAATAAGTAAATGGTTTCTTAACAATTTATGAAATTAATGGTAATATTCAAAAATGCATGCCAATTTCATTGATATTATATTTTGGTACGTGGTTCCGAAAAAACTGACCTTGCAGAAGGTCTATAGTACATCAATGTAAGGGAAAATTTTGACAGCATTATGACCCATGAATAGTGTAATCACTTATACGCAGGGTCGAACCTATATTTTAGAAGAGAGTAGCACCAACGCTTACTCGAAATACCTAGTCTATAACAAAACCTGAGTAGTATAAGAACTACTCGCGGTGCATGGCATCCTGTGAGCCCTGAAAATAAGTCATGAAAGTCTGCATCTCCTTCACTCGGTGCTCAGCCTCAATAACACACCTCTCCATTATAGCCTGACGTTCCCGATATTCTCTCATCTCAGCTCGAGTCGCGGTAACTTCCTTCTGAGGGGTCTCGGTGTGCTCCTATGTTTGATCATGATCTTCGTCCAAACGACGAAGACGGACTGCAGTAACTTCGGTGGTAGCACCAACTTCCATGATCTGATTGGCGGATGCCCTTTCTTGTTCGCCTTGGCGGGCGATGCGACGAACTATGACAGGGAGATCCCTGTCTGCTGAACCTCCTCTATCGAGGTTGTAGAAGCCTCGTTCCATACCGTAGCGTGGGCGCTGGCCCTGTTCCTGACTCCATCTCCTCAGATCCACTACCCACCGGGGCGTCGGGCCCTAGAAGTTTCGCCTGGGGTTTTGGGAGACCTGGGGTGGATTGTAAACCTCAGGTTCTGAGTCGGTGTCTTCTTCGACTTCTTCTTCATCTTCTTCCTCCTCGGAATCCTCTTCAGGATCTTCTTCGGGGTCTGCCTCAATCCAACCACCATTTCCCTAGTTGGGAAAATAGGGATCTCCGGGTATGTGAAATCCTGCTATTTTGACTATGCGAGGATAGGGGTAAGAAGCATAGAAAGAATCTAAGTGTGTGGTTCTATAGCATCATAAAACACTCCTATAGTATTTTAAATTTGTATGTTAAAGGTTCTTTGTATGGTTTGTTTGGTAAGTTTTAGACTCGTCATTCACTACGACCATTCCTCGATATACGCCAGTCACATCCCGGATAAATATAGTTGATCAGGCTATATTCATCCCAGACCTGATTATATACCCCTCGGCTTACTCGTATTGCTCAACTTATCTTAATACTTTTGTTTTGTTACCGTTATGACCCTGTACTAGTATGTTTGTATGTACTTATATTTTCGTGATCCTTGGTCCATTCCTGGTCCTTCTATATTTGCCTTGTGTATACAAGTCATATATAATCAAGATCGAATAGTCAGTCGAATCAGTGATTTTACCTTAAGCCCACATCCAAACAAGGAAAATGAAGTAAAGCGAAGCCATAAATTATAAGTCTATAGAATATTATTATATACAACCCTAACGTATACACTTAGCAAGCATAGATTACCAGCAAGGGTCCTTAATGTTCTTGTATGAAAATGTTACGTCAGAGAGTTTTAGTCTTATTGTATTTATAGTTTGTATATCTTATGTGGTTTGATATAATTAGCTCACTATAAACAATGCTCTAATATCAATCTGTCACACCCTCAGACCAGGATGGCGGAAACGTCTGGGGGTAGGTGACTATCATGTACAGTATCATAACAATTGAATATAAATGATCAAAGCAAACACAACTAACATATATATAATTGAAATAGTTACATCATTTGTATGTGTTACATGTTTCAAAAGTCAATTACAATATGTTGACAAAAGATTTGTTAGACGCCTTAGCGTCCCATCCTCAAAAGCCGGTAGTTACCTGTTTTAATGATTCCCTGAGAATATAAATTATTTGAAAAGGTGTCAACAATTAAGTTGGTGAGTTCATAAGCGTTTATATGAGTAATTGTAAACCTTTCTTTGTAATGTAGTAGTGTTTGTTTTATAGAAAATCTGATATTTTCCATAAAAATGAGTTGTAGTCTTAAATGTACCGAGACTGAAATGTACAAGTATTTTTCATACTTAAAATAGTAATATGCAGTTTTATTTGTATATAAAACCGTTTGAAGAATGTTTTTCCGTAAACTAAATGTGTCCTTGTTGCTTCATGAGAGTTTTTATAACTGTGCTAATGACCTAGATGGCCTGTCGTGACGTTCTTCAGGCGTCGGAATGTTATGACATTTGTCACCCAAGACCTGCCGGTCTAACTGTAGCTAACAATTATGGTGCGGGATTGTCAGTCCCGTATAGATCTATACACAAGTATCACACTCTCCACACAGGGGATTCTGGTTATAAAACATGACTTTCGTGTGTACTTTGTAATGTACGGTGAAGACAATGTCTCACAAAGGTATTCAACAAGTTTACGTGTTTTTGTAGTGAAAACGTTTGTATATGTAATTATCCCCCGCTTTAAGGATAATAGAGAAAACGACGTAAAATAATTATATATGTATTTTATATAATTATACATTTTGCTCAACAGGTTACAAAGGGAGTAAAGTTTCGTAAACTATACTTGCATATTTTATTACAGAAAAGAAGTTTATAAACTATATATATATATATATATATATATATATATATATATATATATATATATATATGAATAATGAATAATGTAGTGTGTTTAAATTCGTTTTTGATATCGTTATGTTTTTATCAAAACTTTGCATATAATAATATACGAGTTTGGTAGTAAAGCCATTTCATGTATTTATCACTTTTCGTAAAAATAGTAAATAAACGTATTTGAATGTTTGCGTTTTAACGTAAATTTGCCTGTGTGTTACTTGTATTCCCCCCCTAAAACATAGAAAAAGTCTTGAAAATGTAGGGGTATAAACTCACCTTATGTGTGTTTGCGGCTAGATAACGAGGTAAAAATGATGATCTTTAAGTTAGAATGCTTGAACGTAGTTGAAATCCTAATAGTTTATAACACATAATAATGTGTGTGAATATATGAACTATCATGAAAGTGTTTGTAAACACTAGATTATTTAAGAAACACTTACCACAATCCTTAAGAACTATTTTGAACAATAAACCTTTGGAATGTTTGGACTTGTTATTGAGAGAATGCACTTGATATTTGAGAGAATATGGGGTGAAATATGTTAACTGTGAAATGTTTGAAAGAGTCCCTAAATTCATGGTTTATATATGGGAAAAGAGGTGTAAGAGAAGTGACATGTACGTTAGAAAATATAATATATCACATTGGTAACTTAATCAACCAATCAAGTGGCATAAATATCTAGATATTTTATGGAGTTTTCAGCCTAACTAAGGGTGATTTCGGCCAAGGCATGACCAAAATCACCTTATACACACTCACACATGTTGATTTCGGTTTTGGTATCACCCAAGGAAGGGTGATTTCGGTCCTAGTGGTACCTAGGCTTGTGATTTCGGCCCTATACAACCGAAAACCCTTGTTCCTAGATTCCTAAAACCGAAAACCATTAGTGGGGTATAACTCATGCTTTTAACTCTTAATTAATTGACTTGTGTTGACTTACCATAGTCAAATTCAACATGGTTTGAAATATATATATATATATATATATAGATATATATAATATATATATATATATATATATATATATATATATATATATATATTTACTTATACAAATGATGTCTCTTTGGCTATAGATGATTCAATGCAACAAGGTTAAGATGTGGTTTCACTTAAACATAATACATCTTCAGACTTTGCTTGAATCCAACTTTGCCAGTTGTCACACATATACCTGAAAAACCCGTATGTTGTTAATTTAATGTACGAACTTACCCTTAAACTTAAAGGTATCACACAGTAGCTCTTTAGGCAGAGGAAGCGATCAATATGGCGCAATCAGGTTTGCCACTTTTTTAAACAAATTATAGAAATTGCAGTGAATTACATTTTTGATTGTTGAGTATAGCCGATTATTTTCCTTTTTGTCCCAAATAATATTTGTTTGCATGTTTGGTCTTTACTTTAATGTTTTTTAACGGTTTTGTCCGTCTTTCAAGAAACTGAATATATTTTTTGGACCAAAATTTTTGCAAGAATCTCAATTAAGGACTAAAAATGAAAACAAACACACCATATACTCTACCTCCATCTTTAACAACCTACAAGAAGAAAAGAAAAAAAAAAGAGATTCTCATTACTTACAAGGTCAATTGCCTCCAGCTGTTTCAACACAGGAGCTTTAGGTTTACATTTGTCCCCAATATCTCTGTAGACACTGAAGATCAATTTTAATTATGATTTAGTTTACATGAGACCTGTATGATCTGTATGATCCATCAGGAGAGGAAATTGATGCAAAGTATCCGCAATTATGAATTTCTCCTGCACAAATATGTGGTTATGATGGAACTTGAGGTATCATTTGAAACGTTATCGTCTTTTCCTTTCTTCCTCTGATTTTCTGCAATCAACGCATTCTCACAAGTTCATATCATTCATCCTATTTTATGTTTATTCCAAATACTGATTCTATTGTGGCTTATAGGAATGAAATGAGAGGCTGTTCTACAAGCTTCTTATTGACAATGTAGAAGAACTTCTCCCTGTTTTATACGCTCCTACAGTTGGTGAAGCCTACCAGAAATATGGGAGTATTTTCAAGCGCCCTCAGGGTCTATATATTAGCTTGAAAGAGAAGTACACCTCTCACATTAGCCTGTTTTTACTTAAATTACTTTAAATTAGCATGAGTTGACAATGAAATAACTCAAATTCACGGGGGAAAGATTCTTGAGGTACTCAAGAACTGGGCTGAGAGGAGTATTCAAGTTATTGTGGTGACAGATGGAGAACGTGTCTTGGGACTTGTAGATCTTGGATACCAGGTAAAACATAAGCTAATTTTCTTTCCTTCATGATTATTTTCATCAATGTCGTTATAGTTTTTCTAATGAAACAATGTTGTATTCTAAAATACTATTTTAATTTGTACAGGGTATGGGAATTCCAGTTGGGAAACTTGCATTATATACTGCACTTGGAGGAGTTAGTCCTTCTGCAGTAAGTTGTTTGAGTACTTACTTTTCTACTTATTTTATTAGGTAGATCATAAATTACTAAACACTATAAATTGGAAATTTAATTATGACCATTATGTTTTCCATGTAGTGTTTGCCAATAACCATTGATGTGGGGACAAATAATCAGAAGCTACTAGATGATGAATTCTATATTGATCTTAAACAAAAGAGGACCACTAGAAAAGTATATTGAAGTTGTCTAGATTTTTTGTAACTCAATCATGTCCTTTATTTCATATAAATAAAAGTTTTGATATTTTTATTTTTTTTGTTTCTATAGGAATATTATGAATTACTTGAAGAGCTCATGTCTGCAGTCAAACAGAACTATGGTCAAAAAGTTTCTGTACAGGTTTGTTTCATCTCCATCGTAAACTGGTGCTCCTGTTGTTGTTGTTGGTGGTGGTTCTGTTAAAACTCTTAGTGGAGATGGTGTTGGTGTTGTTGTTTCTGTTACTGAATCTGGAGTTGCTAAAACTGTTGTGCAGTTAACATGGTTTTCATGTTCATAGCTTGATTGTTGGAGTAAAATTGTTGTTGTTGTTGGTGGTGGTTGTTTGATGAAAAAAGATGTTTGAGGAAAATTTGAAAGATTCTGTCTTTTGAGTACTTTCAGATGTTGGATCTACTCCTTCAATGCATCATTCAAAATGATTAAACTCTACAGTAAACAATGATGCCACGGCCAATCCCGCATAGTTGGATTCTTCCCTAGTTATTAATTAAATATTACTATTTCTAACTAATATATTATTTTCATAACATATTAACAAATTCATTTATTGTTCTTTATTAATTATATAATAAATCAATAAATCAGTCTCTCTCTCTCTCTCTCACTCTCACTCACTCTAAAAGTCATCCTATTTAATTACTAGGTTTGAGGGCAACCCAAAAGGACTTTCCTAATAATTCAAGAATATACTAATTCAGTTATTAACTTAGACACCTAATCCAACACTAACGTCAATTACATATCTTATTAATTCCTAGAAAGAAATGTGGGCGTTAAAATATGAATGGTCACATTTCAGCAATAGGACTTCATTATTCTAAAAATGGGATTTTGATTTGAATTTAGTATTTAGATATTTGAACATGAATATAACAACTATTATATTGTTTCGATATATTGGGATATGATCATCACAGCAATACTTATTGTGTTCCATATTAACATGTTTAATCCATGAATAATCTCATTGTTCTAAAAGGTTTATGGTCGGTTATTATTGTGGAAACAATTATGAAGTAAGACTAATATGGATTAGATTGGTTGACTCTTACAAGATGAAAGTAGGCAAGTGGTTGTAACCAAGATTCATATGTACTTGATAGAGAACCGATACTTACGTACCCACATCAAGATCACCTTATAGATCATTATTATGAGTGATACTTGATTAAAAGGTACTATCTTTGTATCCTGAACACATGAGATACATAGTGGGTCTTAAGTGTAGGGTGTTTTGTGCTTTGATATGGTCAAATGTTGTTCCTCAAACATGTAGATACAAAATCCATTTTCAGGTATGGTGTCAACTATACAAGAGGCTTATATAGCCAAGATGGGATTTATTCTCTTATGTGTTGAGAGCTAGACATTTAACGTGCGTTACCTAAATTTGAACATGAAATGAGATTGATTGCAATCCAAGTCTCATGTTCGACTAGGGGCAGTGAAATGTTGCTAGACGTTCACCACCGTCTATATCAATCTAGAATGAGTCTTGTGCAAGTGGGTGATTGAAAGATCTATATGCCCATGAGTCATTATATAATGATATTGTCAGATAATATATGAACCTATAGGGTCACACTAACAACAACTTGATGCAAATATATTATTTATAAGATTTGGTTCTTGATAAATAATATAACTCTGGTAGTTAACTGGAAATTATTTATTTTATGAAAATAATAAATTTCAATATTAAGTACCAAAGTGAAATTATAATGAATGATTTATATATAAGTTACAAATATTCTTTTATATATATATATATATATATATATATATATATATATATATATATATATATATATATAAGGGTTTTGTTATATAAATTAATTATTCATGACTAATAAATGAAAGAATAAGTAAAATCCCTTTCTTGTCTTCCTTTTGAAGGATGTACGCGTAGATATTGTTTCTAGACAAAATGTTAGTCCTTAATGCTTATAATATTACTAGAAAGATACATTACAGACATGCCTTCTTTATGATGATTAAAGCATGGTCAAGAGGAGTATTTAAATGAAAAATATGAGTATTTTAAAAGGTTTTAATATACTTCTTTTTATTTAAAAAAACATGGCTGCCATATTCTTTCTTTTTCTTAAAAAAAATGAGTAAGGAGGCTAAAAAAGGTAGACAAGATTGTTTTGCTTATTATATATTCCATACCCTTTTAACTCTAGCCTTTTCTAGTAGAAGTAAGGTGAATAAAGTAAGTTAATTCAAAGGACTTCAAAGGTTGCCATATTCTTTCTTCTTCATGGTTGATGTTTTTCTTTTCAAATTTTGCAAGAAGATCATTTGGTGGGTTTAAACTAGTTTTATGTTGTTCAAATTTTAAAGTCTTCCGTTTGCTAAAATATAGAGTTTTTGAAACTAATTTTTTGAATAAAAACCTAATATTATCCAAATGCATTAACTATTTGTAATATTTATAATAATAACAAGGTCCTTTTGGGTTGCCCTCAAGACCCAAATTGGGTAGAATAAATAAAAGAGAAATTACTTTATTAATTATTATGGTTTAATAATTAATTAGAAACTAATTGGAAAATATATTGAGAATTAATTAAACTGTTTACTAATTAAAGGGTTAAATATTAATTAATTAATAGTTGGTTGATTAGGAATATTCCAAAACCCTTATGGGATCTACGGTGGGATATAAACTCCTCATCCCATATGGGAGGAGGAGTGAATTTCGTTTTTGGCTACTTGTCTCGCATGGGATGGAGTACAAAAGCTAGAAAAGGGTCCAAGGCTATATATAAGGCCTTAGGGATCACATTTTTCCTTGCACCTTGGCTTAATTTTTTGCCACCCTTCTTTCTATCTTTATAGGGATGATTTCTAATCCTCTTAGGTTTTGTGAAATTGACCATTCTCCTAGTTATTTTTATTCCACTCTTTGGTGTCATTGAGTGTGATATCATTAGAGGGATTATGGTTTGGTCCTCTTATCCAAGCTACTTCGAGGGGGACAGGATCTCAAGCATAGTGATCAATGGCTACATAATAGGTATTTTATTATTCCTTCCTAATGTTTTATGCTTTTCATAGGGTAGCAGTAATAGTATGAAACTTAGATCATGGGATGTACATACACTCAGGTAAATCTTTGATTGTTTCTTCTGCCTAGATAAAGTGTATTAATGCATAGAAAACCCAACATATGACACGTGACAGGTTCTAGCTATTATACGTAATGTGATGTGACTATGGTTACATTGCGATAGGTTAATGTATCCGGGTAGTGGAAACATATATTCGAAACCTGATAAATAGAGAATGGATCACACATGACCAGGGGACATGATTCCTAGCATAAACTCAGAAGAACACGTGGACGCGACACGTTCGAAAGGAGAACATGATGTATTTTAACATAAAAGTAATATATATATATATATATATATATATATATATATATATATATATATATATATAATGGTGTCTTTGGTTATTGTTTTCCCGTTCACAAGATTTTTATAGGTGGGTGCGAAATGATAATTTTCAATGTTTGTGACGGGAAGATCGACGCTAGTATGCGAGGCTATGATTATCGCACGAACTGAGGAATCACATTTTTCTTATTATTACATAATTATGTTTACATAGCGTAATTTTGAAAGGACTTTTAGAACCCAAGTTAGTTGTTAGAGTTCATAATATTGTGTTATTATGAACAATGTTGTAGGTATAATGGATGAATTCCATGGTGGGAATTCTTGATTTTGTTATAATTACAGTTATAAACTTGGTGGGAATTCTTGATTTTGTTATAATTACGATTATAAAACTTAGTTCATAGAGTTTTAGATATGTGAGATTTAGCTAATGACCTACGGAGTGAAGTCATTTAGCAGCTACATTGTAAAGTTTAGTAAATTTGGTAACAAATGGTTACCAAGTTCAGTAGTGATCGGGTGAATGATCATTATGGTTAGATATGATAATTAAACTCCTAGGGAATTCGGTCATGTTCTAAGGAACATGAGATCTTAATTAAATATGTTCTGGCAAAATGATAAGTAGCGGGCATCCCAAGAATATAAATCAAAGTAGAAGTTAGTTTTCACTAACTACCCAAGTGAGTAACAACACTCCTTTTCCAGATAAATGTTATCTTGATGTGTGCTTATTATTGTACTTATCATGTGATAAATACAATATTATTATGATTGTTGTGGAATAGTATGTTATATCTGGCTAAGAGTTTCATAAAACTAGTAGAGCTAAATTACATACCATGTGTTGATATTATGGAGTAATGGACTGATTGAGTTGAGTTATAGTTAATTATGTTATACGATTTAAGTAGCTAGTTTAAATGTATTTTACTGGGATTTATAAAGTTTTGGTATAGCTTATTATGGCTACAAGTTATACTAAATTAATATCGGATTGTTGCTATTGGAGTGATGGAGTGATGAAATGATTTAGTGAACAACGGTTAAGTTATACTATGTAATTTAATAGATAAATAGTTAGATTGTTTTACATTATGACCACCATATTATACGAGTTAAGTACCTAAGTTATATTGAGAACTTGTAGTTAAACGCAACTATCTAGGTTATTGTACGATCATAATTGAATATAATTGTCTTAACGGATAGAGTAAAAGATAGAGACTGGATGTATTTGAGTTATCAGATGTTGATGGTAGTCGAAATACTATACTTGTATAAAATTACATTGTCGTGGTAGTGTGACATCCCAAAAATTAAGACCAGAAAGCTAATTTTAATTATAATGAAACCATCAACCCCAAACGTGTATATAAAACCATACAAGAAAATCAGAGTATGCCAATCAACCAATCCAATACATCAGAGTTATATAAAGCGGAAATCATGGTGTGTGTGCGATGAGATCACCCTGAGCTCTTCCTTTTTGATCCAGAAGTACCTGAAACATAAATTGAAAAGCGTAAGCATGAAGCTTAGTGAGTTCCCTAAAACACAACATACCACACATATTAGACATACAATGGGTCATGCCCCACACCCATCGGTCCCTACCCGACATCGAGCCCCGCTTGGAACAGATCTATCAGTAGCATGAGATGGGCCTTGCCTCATCACATTCATCAGGACCCGCATGGCATTGGAACCCGCCAGTCATTCATACAGACACATAAAACATGTGCAAGAACCACTAAGATAGATAGCATACAATACACTAAATAGGCCCCGCCTAGCATCGGACCCGCCCGATATACATATCACATAATATACATGCAAGAGTCATGCAGACAACTAGCATCCTAAT